CCTACCTTGCTACAATCTCTTTTCAGGTAGTTGTAGAGAGCAATTAAGTCTCCACTGAGCCTTGTCTTCACCAGACTAAACACCAATTCCCTTAACAGCTCCTCATAAGACTTGTGCTCCAGCCCCTTCACCAGCTTTGTTGCCCCCTCTCTGGGCATTCTCCAGGGCTTCAGTGTCCTTCTTGCAGCCAGAAGCTCAAAAGAGATGTGAAACATTGTCTACATCACATCTTTGCACGGAACTAGTTTGATATAATCTCAATATAACCCTTACTTTCATTTTCTGTTTTATTAAACAGTATAACTGTATTATTTGTTGAGAACTTTTCCCTTACTGACCACCTAAGGTTTGAGGTTGCTTTTTTGTTTGTTTTTTAAAAAGTAACAACACTGCAATCACTTTACACTTTCATGATTTTGCTCACAATATCAAGGCAACTTCTGAAGGAATATTATAGAGACAGTACTGACACTACAATGTATCCATATAGAATGCCCCTTGCATAAGAAAAAGCCCTCCTAAATAAGCTACTGCAAAATAAATCTACATTCTTTACAGGACCAGAAATAAAATCAGGAAATCTCTTTCCTTCAGGCAACAGGTTTTGCAGCTATTTTCAGAAAAGCAAAACAAAACAAAAAAGGGAGTTTTCAGTGCAGCTCAGCAGAAAACAATTGAGCTAAACACAAGAGCTTATTCATAAATAAGCACAACACATCTTTTTCTGTAGGAATGGAGAAAACCCAGTATCCTACATGGTTTCCAGTCACTTGTAACTGCCTAAACACAGATACGCACAAAGCAAAACACATCTACAAGCAACTCTTACAAAAGACAGCTAATAAAAGCTTAGAACTCGACACAATCACAGACAAATTACAGGTATTTTTGCTAAACCTTTAATATGCCTCATTCTTTAACAAAAAGTAACATAACCAAGAATTTGAGGGTGAGGGGATTTCCAGCCTCCAGTAATTAGCAATACAAAATTAATTATATGCCTACATACAGAAGATTCTACTACTATTTCACTATGTAAACGCCTAATTAACTGTAACTTTGACACTGTAGTCTAAGTATATCATTCAAAGACAACTACATTTTCTAAAGAAAGCTTGAAAGCAATATTTAGATCAGATTTTTTAAATTAATATTTTTTTTTTTAAAGCCTGTCTATCTTGGAAGGTATTAAAAACATGAGTTACAGGCTTTGTTGTGATAACAAATGAAAATGAACTTTTGCCAGCTGTAGGTGGGTTATCAGGGAGGGCTTTGATGCTACAATGCGTGGTTACCCATGGCAGTACTGCACAATAATCCATCTCAACTGACTCACAGAAGACCAAAAGTTCTGAGGAAACAACAAATTCAGGCAACACTGCCCCATGACTGGTTCTGTGGCCTTGATCATCCTGTGCCAAGAAATAATCATCATAGCAACAATTTGTAAGTCTGAGCCTCATTAGCCCAGTACAGCAAAGTACAGAACAGCAGAGACATACTGCAGCTAAAGAAGTCTGCAATTTAAATATAGGATAAGTGGGTTTGCAAGCAACAGCAGCAGAACTGACTCAAAACCTACATTCAGAGATCTGCATCTGGAGCACAGGAAGGCAATGTTTTTAGCATGCTACAGTGAGGCCCTACTGCCTTCAAGGGCACAGCTATTTACAAAAACCTTTTGTCCTTTGAGTTTCTTCTTTTACTAGCTTCACCAGGCCCTCACAGGGTGTAGCTACACAAGTGGACAATGGTTAACAAATTCTCTCTTCATCCTCTTAACAGGCCAGATGCAAGCAAAACCCAATCAGGAAAGCATACAGAATCGTTAAATGGGACAGGGCAAGCTCATTACACTATAGTACAATCATCTCTAGTCTGGGATTCCTCTTATGAGGAACACTGAGAGGACTGGCCTGCGCTTTCCAACAGCACATCTCCATTGACTTTCAGTCAGACACTGAATCAGTGCCAGAATGCATCCAGCCAACAGCAACAAGAATGGATTTGCGTGTGGCCACAAACGATAGCACCAGCGCAAGTGAAAGATGAGGAACTTGCAGCCAGAGGCAATGTGGGCAGGTTGACCCTCCAGCAGCAGCCTACATTTGTGGTAAATTAAAATGACCACAGAATTACACTGTTTGCCTTACTGAGAGGCATATCTTGCTGACCTTCAACACCAGCTTCACTTTTGTACAGATGAAGAACATACGCCCAAGGCAAGAACTACCTTTATACAACAGCTTGTTGTACCAGGGAAGTCAGCATGCTTTGATCAGCGCTTACTTCTAAGTATGTTTATAGATAACCAATTCTTTGAACTGCCTACTACTAACAGCTTAGATAGCATTAGTTTCATTGGATGATCAAACTGGCATTTCTTAAGACTATTTTTTGGTCCCAAAAGCTTTGGGGATAAGAAAATTTGCAGTTTTAAATAGTAAAAATGGGATAATAATGCAGTTACAGAACAATGCTAACATTATCCCCAACATTTCCCTATTAACACAGCGAAGCAAAATAACACTATTAGCAATATTCCCCAGGTAAGAAAAGCACTCAGTGGCTTCCTCATCTCCACAGCATCACCCTTTGTCTTCTACAAACTACCCATATCTGTGATACCAACAATAAATTTAGTTTCTCTTCCCCTTCCCTATTTTAAAAGCTGTTGGTTATTTTTTCCCCTTTTTCATTATTCCCTCATTCACGTAATTTTAATGTATCAAAGGGATAGATCGTCTGCCTTTAGAAAAAATAATCTTAACTGGTAAGAATTAGTAATTTTGCAGGTGAAAAGGAAAAATTTCAAAAGTTTCTTACAGCGTAACATCGCAGACTGACCTGCTGGAATTACACTCTGTTTTAGGAACTGAAGATAGAAGCATCAGAGTTTACTGAAGATATCAACTACTCATTCATGTTCCTCTGCTGTACCATGCCAACCAAATGCCTTTGGTCACATAATCCATATTTATTAATACAAACCTCGCACTCTCTCATCACCAATGTTCTCCATGCCAGCAGTCCTACATCGGAACAATACCCTCCACCCAGCCAGCTCTGATAAGCCGTGTCTGCCAAATCTGAACTGACTTCAGAGAAACCATTGGAAGTTTATAAAGCTGCTAATTTTATGCTTGTTAGCAGGTAATTCCCTACTTACTACCTTTCCATCAGTCTCTCTCCAGCTGTTTTTCCTCTCTTCTTTTCCTTTCCCCTTCTCCCCCCTCCCCCCAAAAAATTCTACAGGTTTTCCTTACTCAGGCTGTTACACTATTTTCAAGCTGTTAAGCACTCTTAAAAAATGCTTTTCCCTATGACTCATCTAAACAAACCTTAATAGGGATTAGAACTGGAACCCAAATTGGCAGAAATTAAGAACTTGTAGCTTTGTTACAGTATCAGATGTGATGTATCCTTAAACATCCTCTAAATATAAAGAAAGGCTAGCTTATATCTGCTATTGCTTCATGTTTAATTCAGATACCTTTGAACGAGTGCAGCTCTCCCCATCCCATCCGCCTCCAAATTTTCTATGTTTTATGGAGAATAGAGACAAATACCCCAAAACACAGAGGGAAAGTTTTAAATTGTTGTTTCTACAAAATTATAGTGGAAGATTAAGGCACTGGAGATTTAGGTAAAAATAGGGATTCTACAGCTCCACTGAAAAAAACTATCTATAGTTTTCAAAACTGTGTAATTACTTTAAAGTGAAGATGAGCATATTACACAGTCATGAACAAAACGTGAATTTTTCCTTTTTAAGAACATTACAGATAAGCAGAAAAAATGATGATGGCTTTGATAAAGTAGATGCAAATGAAAACAAACTCCAGTAGCATCTTTCTCAACTGACATAAGCTTCTTATCAAGTGGAGAGAATGCATGCACATGCAGGAAGTTGTGCTCTGAAGCAACATGGGCATTGGGATTCTGATAGGCTACCTTTGGGATTACTGCATATTTCAATTTTACTCTTATGCTAATTTAAATTTGAGTGAACTACAGCAGATATGGACTTGGGAGTAGATTTCTCCAGCCTATTAATAAATTTCACTGATGTTAAAAATAAGGTCCAAAATATTTCTTTTGACTGAATCTGTGCTGAGATATTTCTGGGCGAATCAACTTCTGTTTCATTGCAAGGTAATGTTGTGTCATTAGTTATTTGTCTCTCTAGTAATGGCCTTAAAAGGCTCCGAGGCAAACATGTAAAAAGTAAATTGTTCTGAGTAATAACATTACTGCAAAGAGCTGTAGGAGATGAGGTCACATGTCTCTAGTATCTAGAAACCTGGGGAGATCCTCACAGGATCCTGCAATGAAATTTGGGTTAAATCTTCATGGTATGTGGGTGGGCAGCAGGGATATCCAGTAATTTCCCAATCAAGAAACAAAACAGCAGTAAGTTTCAGAACAAGACCTCTTAATACAGTTAGAAGTCTATCACTGTCTAACACTATACTCTTTTCTTTTTTTTTTTTTTCCCCCTCAAATGTAGGGCCTAATAACAGGAAAACTAAAATGGCAAGCCTCCCATTAAACTGCATTAGAGTTTCTCTATTTATTTATTTACCGACAGCACTGCGTTCCGAAACAGCCCTATGCAGAGCAAACCTCGCTGTGAAACAGCGCAGGAACCGTTTGCCTCACTCCTCATCCGTAGGGCTGCGCCCCGGCTTCAACTTCCCCAGCGAGAAGCGAGAGCTACGTAGAGGCTCGGGCCTCCGCTCCACCGCGGCACCACACAGCACCAGGGGCTGCCCGGGGGCCCGCGCTCCCCGCCCAGCGCGGCCCAGAACGGCCCGGCTCCCGCAGCGGCGGGGGCTGCAGCCGGCCCAGCCCCACTCCCCCCGGCCGACTCCCGTTCCCGAGTCACGTCAGCCCTTCACAGCCTGGCCTCCTCATCTTCTCCCCACCCTATTTCTTTTCCTTATTACTATTATTTTTAACATTTCTGCTTCCTTCTCGTGCCCCTGGCGGCTCGTTACCTTCGGTTCCCGCTTCTCCAACCAATTCCCGTCTGCAAACCGCTGCCCCCACCTTCCCTAACACGTAAGCAACTCCCGGCAAAGAAAAGGAGGCGGTGGAGAAAGGAGGAAAAAAAAAGATTATAAAAAATTTTAAATCTCTCCTCCCCTTCTGGGTTTTATACTATATATCCGGCCGAGGGAGGGAGGAGCAGACTCTGCGCCGTCTTTTCCTTCACCGCCTCTCGGAGCTGGGGTGGAGGGCTCAGGCCGCCGGGGCTCCGCTCCTCCACAGTGGGAATCTACTGGGGGTGGGCGAGGAGACATCCCAGGCCCCACATTCAGGCCACCCCGTCTCTAGCCTCCACAGCCCACGGCGTCGCCTCCTCTCCGCGCCCGCAACCCGCCCGCAATGCCACCAGGCATCAGTAGACAGTACAAGCAAAGGCTCTCCCCGCAGCTCCTCTCCTTACCGGGATGGCGGGGCTCCGCTGCCAGCTCCGAGCTGCCCGTGGCGCACGAGGTGAGCAGCAGCTCCTCAGCGCCTCCCCGAGCCCCTTCCTGTCTTCTACTCTTGTCCTCCTCCCACCCGGCAGTGGCGCGGTGCTGGGATGGGGTCCTAAAGGCTAGAGAAAATCACGGGGGAGGGGTAAGTCCAACTGTTCCTACACCGGCCTCTGAAGTACAAAGAACGGTGTTCCCTCGTCTGCTTAAAGTCCATCTATTTGGCTCTGCATTTAAAATGATGAGGAAGAATGTCGTGGCGCATTTGTCATTCAACTTGCGTTGCAGCTATTAAGAAGAAAAATGAAGAGATGTACAACCTACCTACTCAACCACAAATGCTGGTTTTCTCATTCCAGCTACTAAAGATATGTATCAGAAAGATCTTTTCAACCCGATTTGTGAATAAGCAAGAAGTGATGCTTTTATATGGATCATCACGCAGCGTGTACAAGCGTTAATTAATTTAACAAGAATGTGTTTGTCTATTTACCATCATCAGTTTATTAGCACTGAAAAAAAAAGCCCCAGAAACATTAGGTAAGGTGATCACTACTGACTGAATCAGTACCAGCACTAAGCAGACCTCCAGAGGGAGAGGGATTACATGCTGCACTCGCAGCTGCAGTTCTTTTGTTTCTACTGCCATTCTTGAGATGTTTAAAGGCTGCAGGTGCCTGCCATTTGTCAGAAAGCTTCCTGAGCATGTGTTTGCATGCCTGGGTGTTACTAGTTAAGCTTTAAAACTAGCTGGAGTCTCTAAAGGGTTTTCATCTCATTCTGCCTAGCATCTATGCAATATGCATTTTGCTACTCTTACTATAATGTTGAGCTGTAATCTAAGTATAGGGCTCTTCAGGCCAACCTGAATCATAAAAAGTTCCAGTTACCCAAGTTGTATGTCAACAGCTCTCTATTATTTACAGAGCTAGAGTAAGGATATTTGTGTGGCATTAGATAGTTCGGCTTATTCATCTCATGCAAAGATATAGGTTATAGGGCACACTGACTTCGTCACCTACATAAATGGAAGATACCATCTTGCTATTTGTGAAAGCAGCAGTCTCATAGTGGGTTAGAATACTTAACAGGACAGTTGAAGTTCTAGCTTTCATTTAAAAATTTCCTTACAAAGAATCCACAAGTTCAAGCAAAGATGTTTTAAATTCATTCATTGGAAGTATAGTGGGAGGAAACTTACAAGGAAAGAAACCACTGAAAGTAGTTCTTAACCAAGGAAGTTACATTTGCTGAAAGTGACTGATGACATTTCAAATAATTATGGGTAAACAGGGTTTTGGTTGCCTACATCTCATTTAATGTAAATATCTATCCCAGTGGGCTGCAGAAACCTCTGTCTAACTAAAAAATCCATACTTAAACTTCCAGCTTAACACAAAATGGGGATCAGGAGTAGCTTTTTCCAGTAACAGTGATCTTGCAGTTTGAAAAATAACCAGAAACAATGCTTCTGGGAAGCACAGAATTAGAAATATTGCTCACGCTATCTTCCAGCATACTGAACAGAGAGCTTGATTAGCATCAGTTCTTGCAAAAATTCTTCCAAGAGGAAGACAAATTACATTCAAATTACAAATCTATTGAAATTTCTTTGTGAAGTTTGGAAAAAGTGAGCAAGCTTGATTAAGATTTACCAACTAAAACCAGTTGCAACATTGAGCCAGCGTCATGTCAGATGCAGCTCATGATAGCTTCCGTGAAAAGCTGAGGGGATAATGTGATTAACAAGATGAAGAAACAGTCAAGAATCATTATGCATTGCCAACCTGAGCCACTGCCCTTTGAATCAAAAATTGGAAGGTTGCAAAACAGCTCACTGTCACTGGTAGGGGAAGACCAAAGGCCTGGCTGAAAAGATGCTTTTTAACTGGTTGAAGTAGTACATCACAAATGCTCAAAAGCAATAGAAAATATGAACTTTCCAGGGTACTCTGCCCTGAAGTACAAATAGGAGGTTAGTGCCCACTGTTCTTTCTTAGTTAACCCTCTCAAATCCATTGTTCTTGAACTACTGATAATACAAAATCTTGTTTGCGAATGAAGTACAAGTTCTCCCAAGCCTAAATTTGAAACAAAGCTTGCGAAAGATTGCACAAATGTGAACTTCTATCTTAAGCTGCATAAGGAAGGCACATGGGTAGGAAAGATGAATTTTTACATCAAACAGTCATTAAACTATGACACAAAACTGCTTAAGGATAGTTGCCTGACAAAGATCCACAAAGCTAGTACCAGAAGTGTAAGAAGAACACGTCCCTCGCTTCCTTTGGCAGTGTACCCTGACTCTAACAAAGGGCTGGGGGGCAGGAGCAGGGGATAGAGATGTTGACCATCTGAAACACGTAACTGAGTATTGCTGGGACAACTGGTCTCAGTATAAAACCTTACATTAATGGATGATGAACTAAGGAATGTTACAAATCCTTCATAAAAATTAGAGAAGAAGTTTAATTAGGGCAGTTTAATTCTTACAAGTCAGTCAATATTCTTAGTATGACAGTTACAAATCTGTACCAGACACAATGCTGCCTTACTGTAACCTGAAGCTGAACATCCTGTGGCAATGATTTTGTTTTTTTTTTACCCTCACTTCATATGTTAAGTTCAGGTGTAGGATTTAGTAGTGAAAAATTTTGTTTTGAATAGCCTACAAGTTGAAAAAGTTTACCTCTCTTGCAGATTTAGCAGTACAAATTCTTTCCTTGAAAAAAAAGCAAAACTCAAGAAACTTCATTTTCATTAAGCTTCATTTACATACCTTTATATCATTAAAAAGTTGGAGACAAGTGTCAACAAAGGCTTATGGGTACAAAAAAAAAAAAGAAAAAAAGGAAGCAAGACCTGGGCAGTAAGAAAACAGATGAGGTTTAATAGAAGCAAGTGTACAGTCTTGCACCTGGAAAGGAATAATAAGTGTCAGTACAGGTTGGGGCATAACCTGCTGTTATTTCCTGTAAGATCCTGGTTGTCGACAGGTTGGCTCCAGTGGCCAAGAAGGCCAATGGGATCCTGGGGTGCATTAGAAAGTCTGTGGCCAACACATCAAGGGAGGTGATCCTTCCCCTCTACTCCACCCTGGTCAGGCCTCAGCTGGAGTACTGTATCCAGTTCCGGGCTCCCTGGTACAAAAAAAGACCAGGATCTCCTTGAAATGGTCCAGCATTGGGCCACAAAGATTATAAAGGACCTGGAGCATCTCCCCTATGAGGAATGGATACCAACCTGGATCTGTTTAGCCTTGAGAAAAGAAGACTGGGAGGGGATCTGAGTAATGTTTATAAATATCTTAAGTTGGGAGACAAAGGGACATGGACAACCTCTTCTCAGTGGTCTGTTGGGAAAAGAACAAGGGGAAATGGCCATAAGCTAGAGCATAGGAAGTTCTGCACTAATGTGCAAAGGAACTTCTTCATGGTGAGGGTGATGGAGCACTGGAAAAGGCTGCCCAGGGGGTGGAGTCTCCTTATCTGGAGATATTCAAGACCTGTCTGGATGTCTACCTGTGTAGCCTGCTGTAGGGAGCCTGCTTTGGCGGGGTGGGTTGGACTTGATGACCTCTAGAGATCCCTTCCAACCCCTGCAATTCTGTGATTCTGTGAAAACTTTAATACCTGACAAGAAACCTCGGGTCATTCAGTCCATTAGTTAAGGGATGATAATCCCTTTAGCAAGGACAGAGATTTGTCTCAATGCAACTGAAGTGGTTAATCTGCTCATTTATATGAAAAGGGTTTTAATGCAATTTTTTTAAGAAATTAAATTGTTTCATAGTCAAGTAAGTGCCTTAATTGCACTTGTGGTGTGTCTTCCTCTAATCAGTTTTGAAGCTACTGTATGACTCATCATATACTCTGATGCCTTTTAGTAGGTGACGCATTAAAGAACTTCACCACTGTTAAGCATCAATAACAACTTTACCACTGTTAAGCATAAATAACTCTGTATGATGAACTTGTTTGAACATCCAAAACTGGCTTACGTATCCTGAGTCTTAAAAGACTTGGTAGAACATTTGTGATCCATTCTTGCTGGAATGGAAAAAAAAAAAATTGCTTAATAAGTTTTGATTTTGTTTTTTTTAAATACAAACTGGCTTAGCCTGAAGAAATAATATAAGATCCCAGAAGATAAACAAACTAAAAAAAAAATCCGGATTGTTAATCTTCACAATTTACCATAAATCATTGCAGTGAGATATCAAAGTACAGCAAGAAAATGTACAATAGCCATTTTAGTATTACTGTTTATTTTTCAAATAGAATTACTTAGGCTGTCTGGCTGCTGATAGTATTTCCATTCTTTTTTCTTTCTTGTGCTTAGCCTTCTTCACCATCTTCTCTCTTGAGCTTGCAATTTTCCTGTCTTATTTCAACAGAGAAAAATGCTTTTATTTTACTGACAACTTAGGGAAATATAATTGGATTGTTCTGGAAAGTTTGAGTCCTTCTCAGGTTGAATAAAGTGTTCTACACGTAAACACGGAGCCCAGAAAACCAGCTAAAATAAGGTTCTTCAACCATTAGTAGAAAGATTTGATGTCTTTCACACCAAAAAGTAGTAACATTTGCCTTTCT